TTGCTTCAAAGTCCAGACTTTTCTATGACACTTCTGGATCCTTATGGAAATTATGTTATCCAATCTGCTTTGTCAGAATCGAAGGTGTGAATTGTCTCCCTATCACCATATGTTGATTACTTATTACAAATAAGTCAACCTGATATTGGAGTATATAACATAATTGATCTATATTTTCTTACCATTGCATTCAACTTCAACTACCATTCATTTGACTTGGATAAAGTTGAACTGATCCAGGATTTACTCATCTAACATATGCAAAAAGTAGTGATGCTACTGTAGTATAAATGACCTGCAATTCATTTCACTACTTGGGGGAACTTGTAGTTATGGTATATGTACGATTTTTCCATTAAGCTTTGATTAGTTGGTTGTGATATTTCTCTTTTGTTGCAAACGCAGGGTTTTATTCACACAGCATTGGTTAATCAAGTCCGGGCAAACTCTTCAATGTTGCGAAGCAACAAGTATGGAAAAAAGGTGCTAGCTTGGTTTGAGAAGAAGAATCCATAATTATGTACAATATAGGAAGTGAAAAGGTACTCTGATTCAGGATCTTTTATGCTGCTGCATATATAAGTTTTGTTCTTTTATCTGTTGTTTGTTGTCGTTTTGGTTGTGATTTTAATCGATATGAGGCTCTGCAAAGATCGAAAGTTGAAGAAGAGTGGATAATCTGCAACTAGCGCAGAAACTAACATGAGTTTTATGTGTAACTTTCTTGAGGAGAGGATCTGGGGAAGGGAAAAGATAGCAACATATATTTTTGTATTGTGTCTTTTTCAGGCTGTGAAAAGTGTTGCTTGTTACATTACATCATACTTGTAATGGATTAATTCAATGCAAGGCTCAATATCCATCATCTTGGTTTTACAAGTTCCCTTTTCAATCATCTTCTTTTTTTTTTTAACTTTTTTTTTTTTTCACTATCAATTGGCTTTGATTTGCTAGAAAATATGTTTTCTAGGGATGAAATTTTGCTGAATTGAAAGCTATCTTGGGTCATTTTTTTCATATGAAAATATGCGATAATGTTGTTGAATTATTCTAAATAACATTTCAAAATTTTGTTGTGATAAATGTTTTCAAATTTCGATTATCTTAAAAATTATCAGTAAGTATAAATAAATAAATAAATTTTATTTATATATTCAATTTAAAGATAAATATACTTAAAGATAAAAAGTAGGGTATTCAAATTTTAATTTATATGAATCGAATCGAATCAAATTAAATATTATTTACTATAATTCTTAATCAACATTAATGAATTAAATTTTATTTTATTATAATAAACTAATTTAGATCAAAAATAAAGAATTAAAAAAATATTTTTTTTATTTTTAGTTTTATTATTTTTTAATTAAAAAGTTATAAAAAAATAATTTTAATTTATTTTGATATGAATATAATAAAAATTCATTCCGGTATATATTGAAATTAAAACAATCAAATCTTCTATCTAGACCTCATATTTTTTAATCTGATCCACACCTTGACAGAAAATAAGCAACTACTGATATTGATACGGAACGGCACGTTTTGTTCAAGAAACAAGATGCCCACGCTGTTGTCATTACCTAACATGACAAAATCATGTCTTCTTAATTTTACCCAAAAACTTTATAAATACAACGTCATGACTACCCAATTCAATTTTCCTACCAGTAGAAATTTAAATTATTTATTCGAATGCTAATCTCTTCTGCTAAAATAAATTCAAAAGAAATACGTGTAAATTGGACACTATTATATATTACATAATAAAATAGATTTATTAAACCAAAAAAAAACCAATTCAACGCCCCGAAAATTAAAATAATCCCCAGTTTTTCTTATTTCAAAATTGAAAATTATTATAAAACAAATATTAAAAATCTGTACAACTAAACGAGTAACGGCCAATTAACGAGCAAAATTTACCAGTTGACTCTCAATTGCGAGACCATTACGTGGCAGTCTCTTATTGGCTGAGTAAAATGCACTGCGGACTGCAGACTGCAGACATGGCTTGCGATATTAAGAAGAGGGGGAGAGTCCTCTGCAACTCCCCGCGGGTTGACCAAAGCTCCCTCTTTCGTCTTCAAGCAAAACCCCATGGCTTGGGCTTGGACTCATATCACCTCATACCTCGTCATCTTCTACTGTTCTTTAATTGGTTTGTCCGATCTCTATCGCCGCGTCGATTCGTCGTCAATCGGTGCCAGGCACCGGCACCGGCCGCCCATGGTGATCCCTTTACAGTTCTCGTCACACAACTCTTCGTTGCGCCTATCCGCTGAAAATCGGCGCCATCTCCAACAATCTCAGCTCCCTACTCACACCCCTAATGCTCGCATGAGACTCTACGATGATCTCCTCTCCAACGGGTTATTTTCATTCTGTTTATTCTTCCCCTGTTATTCAGTTCCATTTTACCGATTAGTATGAGTAGTTTTGAATTTCTTATTTTTATGATTGTATCTCCAGTTATTACACGACGCGGCTATGGATTGGATCGCCGCCCCAGGAGTTTGCTCTGATTGTAGATTCGGGGAGTACTGTAACTTATGTTCCATGTTCTACTTGTGAACACTGCGGCAAGCATCAGGTTTGTTGGTTTTATGATTTTGAAGCATAATTTGCGGTTTTCCTTTTACTGTATTATCATTCTTTTTATTTTATTTTTTCCAGTCATGCACTTCTCTTTATTTTTCTTCCTATGCTATAATAAGGCATACCGAAAAAAGGGTGGAGGAATTTTACATGATGAATTTTAGAATTAGACATGAACATGCATTATTTTCGCATGAAAATTGTAGGAAATTTAAGAAATTGGGTTAGATATACCAAATAATCATCATCCAGGAATTAATTTAAAAAATACACTGTTCTCGTCTTTAAAAAATCAGTTTCTTCACCCTTTTGGGCTCAAGTTTCTCAACGACTAGGCTGAGAATTTAATGATTTTGGAGTCCCTCTCCAGAAATATTTTATCACAAGGGCTATGCTAGAGTTTCTGCATATTGTTTAATCATTTTTATGAGCCAAGTTCTGCTTCTCTTCAGGATCCAAGGTTCCAGCCAGAGTTATCTAGCACCTACAGACCTTTGAAATGTAATCCCAGTTGTAATTGTGATGATGAGGGAAAACAATGCATTTATGAAAGACGGTATGCTGAGATGAGCTCAAGCAGTGGGGTGCTAAGTGAGGACATCATTTCTTTTGGCAATGAAAGTGAACTTGTGCCTCAGCATGCTGTTTTTGGTTGTGAAAATGCAGAAACAGGTGATCTTTACAGCCAACGTGCTGACGGCATAATGGGTTTGGGTCGTGGCAGGCTAAGTATTGTCGACCAACTTGTTGACAAGGGTGTTATTAGTGACTCATTTTCATTATGTTATGGTGGTATGGATGTTGGTGGGGGTGCTATGGTCCTTGGCAGGATTTCTCCTCCTGCTGACATGGTTTTCTCTCATTCTGATCCTTTCCGTAGGTATGATATCTTCTCCTAGTTGTCTATTCATTTTTTCAGAGAATGCATCTGGTGCTTCTCACACATTCACTATAGTTTTTGGGTGGTAACAGTCCATACTACAACATTGAACTGAAGGAACTGCGTGTCGCTGGCAAACCATTGAAGTTAAGTCCAAAGATCTTTGATGGAAAGCATGGAACAGTATTGGACAGCGGAACAACATATGCCTACCTTCCGAAAGATGCTTTTATTGCATTTAGGAATGCTGTAAGATCTTCCATTCTGAAATTCGCCTTGTCTTAAGTTAGACTTAACACTTAATTTCAGCTTCGTATGTTACTGTCACTTCTGGTCATATTTGAGGCTCAAAAAGGATGAGACATATTTTCTATACTGCATTTTTATTGGTGATATTTCTACAATAGGTTGTGGCCTTTTGCCTGCCACTAAGAAGCCCAAAAAAAGGGGTGGAAAATAATGATGTTTAATAATTGGAATAGGTTGACTGGTCAAGTAACAGTTATTTTTATTGTGATTAATATGTAAGGTTATGTCCTTTAGGATAACAAGTGGTTGACTAATCTTGTAGAGTAAAAAACAACATCAGGAATTCATTACAATGCAAAAATGCATCACTCATTCATTGGACAGGCTATTTAAGGTTTATGTTGTCAAAATTAAGCAACAATGCAATATTTGATAACTTAACCATGTTCAGTGGATTTTTCTTGGCAAAGTTTATATTGTTCATTCCCGTAAAACTTCATGCAGGTCATGAAAGAGATTCATTTTCTCAAACAGATCCATGGTCCTGACCCAAATTATGATGACATTTGTTTTTCTGGTGCTGGAAGGTATTCTCTCCATTAAATAAATGTGTTGATTCTTGAGCTCTACCCTATTATTAGTGATGATCTGCCTTACCACTACCCCTAAGTATTTGTAATTGAATGTGGCTTAGGGATATTTCTGAGCTATCCAAAACTTTTCCAGAAGTTGACATGGTGTTCAGCAATGGACAAAAATTATCCCTGTCTCCTGAGAACTACTTGTTCCGGGTATTCATCATTTTTAAAATTCTTAAAAAAGTTGCTCTAGTATGTTCTTTCATCTTTTATTTTTAACGTATATTCTTAAGACGTATTTTCTCCCCCTTCTATTTTTCTGTCTCGGCATGTGGTATAGCATACAAAGGTTAGAGGTGCTTATTGCCTGGGAATCTTTCAGAATGGAGATTCAACTACTCTTTTAGGAGGTATAGTACATTTCTTGCCGACCGCCTGTGTGTATCTAGATGAAATTTTACTATGGATATCCTATGAGTAAATTCTACAATCTCTCCACCTCTCTTTTGCAAGCTACAAATAACAGCTCTTTATCTTTTCCAGCTGGGATACTCCTAAATGGATTATAACTTTTTGACATTGATTAATATGATACAGGAATTGTTGTGCGCAATACTCTGGTGACTTATGATAGGGAGAATGATAAGATTGGCTTTTGGAAAACTAATTGTTCTGAACTTTGGAGGACACTGCAGTTGCCAAATGCTTCTGCACCAGCACCATCAGTTTTCCAAAAGAATGATACGAATTTTGAGATGTCTCCTAACCTTGCTCCAAGTGGATTGCCTCCTAATGTTCTTCCAGGTAGAGTAACTTTGAGCTTATGAAATTTCTGCTACTTCTAAAATTCAATTCTGCATCCCGAAAAAGTCTTTGCTGTTTGTTGGGATATTATTTCTGGCAGTGAACTGCTTTTTCTGGTCTTGAGTTTGATTTTTTCAATAAATGGAACCACTTTTGTTACAGGCAAATGGTTTGGAAGAAAGTAAGTTTTAGTTTTGTTTATATATGTATCTAAGATAGGAAAGTTTAGTGGTTATATGATGTGGTTATTAGGGTATTGCAGGAATTAGCAGATTGGTAGTTAGGAGTTAGATTTATGTTGTAAGAAGATCATATTTACATGGGATATGGTTATCTTTAACTGGTCCTTAAGAAGCAGTTGCAACTCTGGTACAAAAAGACACAAGGTTGGAGTAGAGGATATATGCTGGAAGAAACCAATTTACTTCCTTTTGTTATGGGATTCAAGGGTTCCCTCTAATGAGCTCTTAGACCAATAGTTAACATAGGAAGGAAAGGGAAGAACCAAGTCAAGAACATCAGTTTTGCTTCTGATTTCAATTCTCAAAGGTCCAGTCACCAGATCTCAATCTCAAGGACCTTATCTACTTGGCACTCATAAGTCTTAAGATTGTGGATCGAAATAAGCAGCATGCCCGACATTGCTTGTTGAGCTTGATTTTAAAAAGATGTTAGTCTAGGGATGGGCACAGGGCAGGTATGGTGTGAGTATGTCAAGTCGCATATCCACCCAGCTAGTGAAAACATAAACACATACATGCCCCATATCAAAGCGGGTAAAAAGTTTTTTACTCGCCATTCGCCTTTCACGTAGAACTTTCTATTCGTCACCTATCCTATTTACCTATTTTTTTAATTTTAAAAAATTTTATGAAATATTTAAATAAATAGTAAAAATTAATTAAAAAATCTAAAGTATTAATGTAAATAAAATATAATTTAAACTAATGTTTAAGTATAATACTCAATGATAAAATATATAATAAAATATACAACATTAAACATTTATTACTCAAAATTTAATCAATTTATTTATAAGCAAAAATGAAATTAAAAAATTATTAATTTTATATGGGGCGGAATGGGTAATTCATTTAAATCCATACTACATATTCCATTTCGGTTTTATAACTTTCTAGCAACACCCAGTCATATATAACCCATTAATTATAGATTTTTATCTACCCCATCCGAGGTGGGATAGGGAAGGTTAGTGGATCATCTACCCAAATGCTCCTCTCCTATCATTACCTTTCTTGTTACTTGTCTTCCAGTAAGTTTTTGTTGCTTAACCTGCAGTTTCCGTAAGATGAACTAGCCATTTGTTTTGTCCCTGTCAACCATATGCCAGAATTCCTCTTTTAATTTTTACTTTGCAAATAATTTTTTAAACTTCTCCCACAATATGAAAACAGTTAATTTTCCATCGTTTGACTATCTATTGCTGTAGATTGAACCTTACTTTCTCCCTGGAGTTTCTGGGATACTGCCTTGTTATTCTTCAACTTCATTTATATGTGAAACTAGTCATGTTTCTCTATGTGCATCTGATTTTGTAAGTTTTTGTTGCTTCCCATCATGCCCATTGCCATCACCATGACCACCATCACAGCTGCTGTTATTATCATCATCTTTTCATGATTTCATAGTTACTGTTTGTTGTCATGTTTTGGTGCACATTCTTAAGTTGTAGCTTGGGCTGCAATTTCCCCTCTGATAAAGACTGTTCCTGCATGTGATTCATAGGTTCATTTCGAATTGGGTTTATAACGTTTGACATGTCAATTAGCAAGAATGATTCCGATGTTAAATCCAATGTCACTGAACTTGCTGTTTTTATTGCTCATGAGTTGGAAATTGACAATTCACAGGTATGGTTTTTAAGATTCTCTTCTGTTAAGGTGACTAATCTAATGACAGATTCAATTAAAATAATTCAATCACGTTTACCAATTGATTGTGATCAGGTTCGTTTGTTGAATTTTACATCCGAAGGAAACGAATACCTTATTAAGTTGGGTATCTTTCCTGGTCAATCTGCCAATTATATATCTAATACCACGGCACTGGTAATGCTATTGCTTCGACACCAAAGCATGCTTGTACTATTAAATCCTTTTCCTATTGATTGGCAATATATTCAATCAAAGCTTTTTTTACATCCTTGCATGCAGAATATAATTCTGCGTTTGAAGGAACATCGTTTGCATTTGCCTGAGAGGTTTGGGAGTTATCAGTTGGTTGAATGGAATGCTGAACCTGAAATGAATCTGTATGTCCCCTGTACCTGCTATTTTCAGCTGAAACAGTTATTACCTTATGTTATACTGCGATAGTTTTACTCATGTCCTTGTTCACAAAACAGCTCTGTTATCTTGGCATCCAGAGTATGTCCTTTCTGAAGGACAGTCATCTAGTTCTTTTGACTGGCTTGGAAACCAAGCATTATTATGTTGAACCAGGCATGTCATTACCATCTTGTGGTCTGTCATGCCCAAGCATTCTATGTTTAGCCTTGTGGTCTGTCATGCCCTAGCATTTTCTATAGAATGCTTGAGTTCAATAGCCACCTCTTTCAAAAAAGAAAACATCTGACAATTTTCTTCTAATTCAAAGAACTTACCCAATGTGTCATGGGTTTGCCACTACAATGGCATGGTTGGAAGATTAAAATTCAAGTCTGTTAACTTATCCAAGTTAATGGATCTGCCTAAATTTGATATCTTGAGTTATTAAAAAAAATGACATCATGAGTTTCGAAAGAGTCAACATGGTTAGTTTTGATGCTGTATTTTTTTATTTGGAACGTTGATCTCTTAATGCTCTGTCAAGTTGAAATTTGTCTTGGTTAAGACCATGAACAAGTGAATGGCTTGTCAATTCTCTGTACACTGTGCATAAAAGATACAGTACCTGTATGGCTTCATATGCAGTTGCGGATGGTAGGTCAGACATCTGGTTGGCCACTTGAAATCCTGAGTTGGTGGGCATGCAGTGATTGTGGGATCATCTTGATGTAAAACTGTTGCACAACGTATGACTGGGTTATATTGTCAGTGCTGTTACTATGACCTTTGGGTGTTAGGTTGGTGGACCATATCACCAGAACCATAATAAATATTGACTTTAAGAACACGATTATAATATTTATTCCAATTATGTAAATCTTGAGACAAATTATTGAGGAGATAAAAGTCACTATTTTTTCAATTTTTCATCTTTGATGTTTCTGATTGTATGGCATGCGTACTGCAACTGTTGATCGTGTTATCCTTTTATCTTAAAGTTTTTCTTTTCTGATTCAGAATTCAATTTTTGCATCTTCTTCTCTTCATCTCAGGAACTGGTGGCGGCAACATTTTCTGGCTGTTTTTATTGGAGTCCTTGTTAGTCTTCTTGCTTGCTTATCAACCATTGGGGTATGGTTGGTCTGGAGACGCAGATCGCAAGTAATTGTTACATACAAGCCTGTTGGAACCATGGTTCCAGAACAAGAGCTTCAGCCTCTATGAGACCCGAAAATTTCACCAAGGTCTGCTAATCTCAGTCGGTGCATAGTGTTTTTTGTTTATTACTGATCTGGCAAGAGAAATGAGGTGCGACAGAGCACTGATGATTCCTATTAACACCATTGAAGCTAAGATTGTTGCAGTCCTCTTTTTGGTACAATGGAGAAAGAGGATGGATGGCAAAGGAAGAAAAATGTAAAACATACTGAAAGTAATCGTGACATGCTTGTAATTTTGGATCAAATGTTCTTGAAAAAGCACATGTATTTTTAACTGGAATGTAGAAGATTCAATTAGTGGAAAATGCAAATTATAGGCATTACAAACGCTTGTTGTTAGTAAGGTATCTATTTCCCCAGCCCACTATTTTTAAATTTCTGTTTGATTAAAGTGTATTTTATTTTTATTTAATTTTTAGATTTTAATTATCTGATATATAAAAAGTTTGTTAGTTGTAGTAAAATTGTTTACTTTACAATATATATTTGTATTTTTTTTTTCTCATAAAGAAAAAGAAATTAGAAAAACATGTAATTTAAATTTAAAACGTAATGTTTAGAAGTAAAATGTTGATTTATTTATTTTATTTGCATTTTCATTTATATTTGAAATTTAATATAATCAAATTTATTTCTCTTTAATTTCATTTTAATGAATAGATACTCTCACTAATTAACAGAAAAATACGATAATATCTAACTTAAATTTGATAGAATTAACTTATAATTCATTTTAATTGTCTTTCTATTCATATTTTATAAAACTAAAATTTAAACTGAATTTAATTTTAAATTATTTTCGTTATTATTATTATTATTTTAATAAAAACGACTAATGAAAAAAAAAAAAAAAAAAAAAGGGAAGCTTTGGAATAAATGTCCTTCTAGGTGAAAATTTTTGCAATTTAAATATAATACATTATATTTTTAACCTATAAATATTAAGATTAGTATGAAATTGGAGATGCGTCCAAAGTAGGAGCATCATAAACCAACTAATTAAAGATACCCACACAAATATTGTTATGTCATTAACTTTCTTTACCAAAACACTTGATATTTTCTTAGACCAAAAGGACATTACGAAATAAATGATTTGGTTAGTAAAGATTTTTCTTAAACGAAATCCACATTACCAAATAAATAATGTTTGGTTAGTAAAAGTAAAAATTATATGTATGTATTAATTATAATTTGTATAATAGAATTAAATTAATTTACTCTAAAATTTAGACGGATGAAGAATAATTCAATGTATTATTTTATGAGCAGTAACACAGAAGAAAAACCAAACAGCGGGCAGATATCATGAATGAATAAAAACTGAGGGGACCGCCATAACAAACAAATTGAAGGGGTCTCTGCGGCTATCATTGTACACTTGCACTGCATGTGATCTTTGCCCCCACAAATATATTTCCATGTCCCATGCTTACAATTTACAATACCCTAGCTTCCTTTACCTATACATACATATACGTATATTTACGTATTTCATATATATATATATATGTATACGTACTTACATACGGTGCATGAAAAATGAGGGGTGTAATTTTTAGGATATTATATTTTTATTTACTTAAACTGCAAACTCAATAAGTATCGTAATCAAATTTTTTCAAGAACCCATTTGGTTGATCATTTCATAATTTAAATTAAATTTTCAAACTTGTGATTGAACCCTTAGAGTTCAGATGGCTTTTCTGTTTCTTTTTTTGGCTAATTTCTGTAACTTTTTTTCTATTAGTGGTGAACTTGCAGAGTGAATACCAAACACCAAGGACCCATTCATATTATAATTTACCTGATAAAATACAGCAGATACCAATTCATAACTTCCTTCTATATATAGCCTAATGGCTATATATATATATATATATATATATATATACACACACACACACACATATATATAAGCAGCCAATGCATACAGTAACCTTATACATATAGAAAGGAGGTAGACATCTATGATCTGGGTCCAGCGTATACGAGTAACTAATCAAAACCAGCTAGCTAAACTCATCGTAATAATATACGTACATATATTTATTACATATATGAGTAGTGAAGCTTGAAGGATCCAATAGATTATTAAGCTTAAGGACACTTAGGGTTTCCCTTGGAGTTCTTCAAGTCCCTGTAACAAGGGCACTCATGCTTGTTCCCATAAGTTCCAGAAGGAACACAGTTGCATTTCATGCAGCAAATTTTACAGTACTTGAGGCACCTGTCCTTTATTCCTGCTCGGGAGCATCTCATTCCGCACTTTGAGTCACAGAACCCTAATTTCTCAACCCAGAAAAAATCCTCTCATTATTTCCTCATATACATACGTAACATAAACATGTATGTTATACTTATTTGAGAAACGAAAAAGAGAGAGCGCTTACCTGAATCAGCAGCCATGGAGGGGTAAAAGAAAGAGGAAGTGAGGAGAAGAAATGCGAGAAAGAAGGATAGAAAGGCTAGCTTCTTCATCTTTCTGAAGTTTGAGAGTGATTTGAGGTTATTTAAGTATGGATGAGTAGTGTATGAGTGTGTACAAGAGGAATGATGATGATGAATGAGGGAAGTTGAGTGAGGAAGAAGGAGAGAGGGAGAGGGTGAATTTATAGAGGAGGAGGAGTAGGTGAAAGTGTTTTTACTGTCACAATAAATACAAACACCGGATTACAGACTGTCATGCGCTTTTCATGAACTCCAATTTCCTTAATTTTGGAAAAAATAAAATACTAATTTTATATTACACCTAAAAGGTTCTAGTTTGAGAATGTTTAAATTTTATGATTTTCTTTTTTTCTTCACTTTTTTGTGTTGTGATAAATATTACATCATTAGAGGAATCTTTTTTTGCTTGCAAGCGAAGAAGCCAATCGTCTATTCATACCGCCTACAAAAAAATATTTTATTAGGAGATATAAATTTCCTTTTTTAAAAAAATTGTAATAAAATTAAATTTAAGGATAAAAATAATATAAATTGCAATTAAATTTGAGCTTTTGCATAAAGTATGAAATAAGTACCTCTGCTTGAAAATATATTACAAATTAATATTATATAATAATTTGAGTTATTATATAATATTATTAATTATTACATAATATAAACAAATTTTTACGTACATATATTTATTTGGAAGATATATGCAGTGTGATTTTTAGTTGGGGTAAAAATTTTCTTTTGGAAATGAAAAATTAAAAAAATAAATAAAACACCGACACAAACTTCACACTTTAGTTAGTAAAAGTGAGAGCCGACGCGTAATTGGTCCACTAAATTTCCAGAGTTTTCCCACTAAACATTCTACTGGAAGTTGATAGAAATTATACTTAATTTCTTTTTTATTTTACATATTTTTTTAATAAATATATATACGTATATATATATATATATATGTTGCCTAAAATATATTAATTTTTCATATGAATTTTGATTTAATATTTCTTAAGAAAAAAATATCCGTGTATAAATTAATAGTAGCCATGGTGAAAAACTGTTAATCTTTTAGCATTATCATTAATCCAAAAGCAAGTTTACAATATAGTAAATGCATGAATAATTATCACCATCAGATTGATCATCTCTTATTTTGCAAACGGTGTCGTTTAACCCTGAAGTGGTGGGCTTAACGGGCTTGAGCTTGCTTGAATGGGATTGGTTAGGCTTGGGTTATATGAAATAGACGCGAGATGGATCGGATTTTATTAGAATTTGAAACAAGACCTCCTTCGTAGATTGGTAAGAGCAATTATGAAATCAAAAGAATCAATTAATCAATATGGAAAATAAATTATTATTATTATTATTATTATTATTATTATCATCATCAAAACGATGTCGTAGTAGTTGAGCAAAAGAAAGAGGCTTAGATAAGCTATAGTATTTTGTGTGTGTATAGAACAAGTGAGAAATTCATCAAGCTGCGTTGAAAAGAGAGAAAGAGAATCTATCAATTTGCAATACTGAGAATGGAAGTTGGCCTTTATCATCAATCAAACATACCACAAAACTGTGTGTGTGTGTTTATATATATATATATATATATATACATACCCAATGAAATTGATAACATGCATGATGGATATAATCAACTAATGAAAATCCAGAAACCAACAAAAAGGATGAACCAAAGCTGCTGGCTAACCAGCTTTATATATAATATACCGAAAGGATTATTTTGTCTTTTTCTTTTTTCACATCTCTCTTTGTAGGCCCTATATCAATACGGCTATCCCCAAATAATGGTGTGTCTATATATGTATGTATATATACGTTGTAACGTCCCGATATATATATTTTTTTTCGCGGCATTACAATTATTCTGTTAGCATACTTAACCTAATATATATTATCTCATCAACAATGTTAATTATCCATATAGACAAAGGTTCAACATAAATCATTCAAATTACTGAATTTATTGTACATCTATCCATATGATAATTTATAATTTTACAATTTCTCATTTCAAATGAGCTATTTGCTACTAATTATCTAAGTATTTCGTTTCCTTATCCATACTCCTTGTTTCGTCTTCTCTACCCACTTAGTTCAGAAACATGTAGCTCTGGTCCAATTTCCGGTACTACATCATCTGTAAATAATAGGTAATGAGCATACAGAAACTCAATAAAGTAAGCTTAAATCATATACAAGGTCTGGCAAACCAGTTATACTTCTTTCCTCCCCTTAGGTCTCCATTTCGATTGGTCACGCCATATTTCCTACCCATACCCTTCTCCCCTTGTTCACCTATCCCTACGGTCACCACACATCTCCTTAAAGAGAAAGAATCATCAACCTTCCCACTTATTACCAGGTGCGGTCACCCCATTAAACCATCCCAACATTTCCCACGTATTTGTCCACTCGACCCTAATTCGGCCACTCACTCACACAAACACTCCCAGGTAAACGCCCCCCTCCATCAGTCAATAATATCGGCGCCCCTATTTGTCACCACTTGACCTCCAATTGGCCACTCACTCATAACTTTATTCATTTCTTCCATCACTAATATCGGCGAACCAACTCATCCCCACTCTCATCAATCTGCGACCATAAAATGGTCACACATTCA